GAGAGCACATTATCCTTCCAGAACATTAACTCCCAGACCACAGGTACTACTAGAGTTAAGCAAAACTGTCTCTAAGACGTTGAGCACTCTACTAAATGCACATTATGTATCCGTAACTACTTCAGCGAGTCTGGTCGTTGAGCTACCACATGTCAAGTATATAGTGGCAGTTGATACAGGCAGCCCCGTCTCATCTCTCTGTTACCAGTGAAAATTTAAATTTTATAAGAGAAATATAAAAGTTTGGGGCCTTGATTTATTTTATAACGGACTGGTTTAATACATTTTTAAAGCATGTTTATTGGGTTACTGATGCAGTGCATCTTATGTATGTTACAAGTTTACAAAGGAGCGTTTTCATGGGTTTTTAGTTTGGACTTAATTAATTTATGTCGATTTAGATTATTTGCTAAGTTAGGTTTTTCGTTAGGTTTTCTATTTAAGAAGCCATTAGGCTAATTTGTAAGGAGTTTTTGATATATTTAATTCTAGAGAAATTTCTCAGAAACCCTTGTTCTTGATTTGATTCAATTCATGAACACATGAAGCTAGTCTCAAATGAATGTTTGAATCCCTTGATTGAGCAAGCAGGTCCCAAGGAGGATTATCAAATTCCTTGGTTGATCTGATTATCCAGTCCATACGCTGCGCCAATTACTTACATGTCCCTAGTTATCTATGCGTCTGTACAGTAAACCCAATGTCTGCATAGTCAAAGATTCTTAGAACTTGAGAAAGATTAATACAAATTCAGATGTTGTATTACTTACCATGTTCAAAGCAATAACTTGAGCCTATATACCTTTGACCATCATTTTGTGTCTAATAACTAATACAGCATCCGAACGAACCTACAAGAAAGAAAATGTAGTACCATTTAACAAATTTAATTTGTATGAGAAGAGTCTGAAACAAAAGGCTTATGGTTCCAAGTGATTTACCAATCCAAAAATTGCACCCCGAAGAACCAACTGATGGCGCTTTGTTGAAAAATTAGCTCACTGCTGAACCTAGAACTCTTAAGATGGTTTCTGTAAGTCGGAAACAGAGAAATATGATCATCCACGTCAAATAAGCCATTAAGAAAGTAGTAATTTATCTAAAAAAGAGAGAAATCAAATGTGCCATACAAACAAGAACATCGATATTGCAAGGCTTGGTTGGGTTAGAAACAGAACAATGAGACACATAGGATTGGCATGAAGAACCAAAGATGTAGCCAGTCTCCATAGCCAGCCTCTATGGATTAAGCTATTTACATTCATCCCCAGATTTTATTTGCATCAAGAAATAAACTGTATCACATTCAGTCTAGTCTATGTATATGGTACCTTAGCTTCCCATGTCAGAACTTTTCCATTAGCTGCAACTTGTACAACATACATTTTGGCATAATTAGGAATTACGTAGCTAAGCTGGTTGTAGTCTCCTTGACCTACATGTGTAGGTGTAGAGTTCGTTCAGTTTTGTTGATTTTTAAAATACATGTAATCCTTCCAAAAATTGTTTTTTCTACTTCCGAACCATGGATTTGAATAATGGTTGTTGTGTAAATTTGTTTTTTTTGAATGGTAATATCCAGAAGAACTGGGATGCGGTTCTAATAATAACAATATATATATATATATATATATATATATATATATATATATTAATTTTTCGAATATTAATTTATAGAAATTTTTAGTGTATATTAATTTATATATATATATATATATATTTATATGTACAGTATAATCTTTAATTTAATATTTTATAAATTAATACACACTAAAAATTTCTATAAAATAATATAATTATATAGTTCCAAATTGAGTTTTTGATTCAATTAATATATCAATAAATTAATAATCTCTATAAATTAATAAAAATTATAGTTTTTATGTAATTTATAGAGGTTTCACTATATATGCAAATAAAACTATGTTCAGTTTTGTTGAGTTTTAAAAATACATGTAATCCTTCCAACAATTGTTTTTCTATTTTCGGACCATGGATTTGAATAATGGTTGTTGTGTAAATTTGTGGGTTTCAATGGTAACATCCAGAACAACTGTGGTGTGGTTCTAATAATAACAAATATATATATATATATATATATATATATATATATATATATATATATATATATATATATATATATATATATGTATATGTAAATAAAACTATGTACAATGATATTTAGTATTCAACACCATAATGTACATTTTTATTACTCAATGTCATCTTCTCTATTTTCAACATATTAATTCAACATATATTCAAATTTTACAGGTTTTGTTTAATATTGTTTTCACCGATCAATAAATGACAAATGTTCTTATTTATTCCCACTTTAATAGATTCAACATGTTGAATACAAAATTTAATCCACATCAACTATTTCTTGCTATCCAATTTCCAGTTTGTCATGCAATTCAAATGTTTTCTATTACTTCTTTTTCATGTCTGTTTATATGGAGTTTTGTATTAGCTTCCTAAATATGATGTTTGTTACCTTATCTTAAAGGAACTAGTTTCTTTTTTATATAAAAGATCGATTTTTTTTGATGAATTAGATAAACAATTAGTGGACATAAGATTTCATATATTTAGTTTAAGATTAGTAGTGTAACTCAAATATTTACTTTTTGTTAATTATTTATGTGCATAGCTCCGAATAGTAACATATAGAACTGCACCATAGTTAAACTATTTGCAATGGATAGCTTAATTAAAAATCATTCCATGATAAATAAAAAAAAATTCCATATTTTTCCTCTTAATTGAGTTTGTTTGCAAGTTGTGTTAACTAAACCAAAACTTAATGAAAATCAACCAAGAATTATGAACAAATTTATGTAATTTAACATACATTTGAGAAAATGTATATTCAACAAATAAATGAATTAGATCTATCTTTTTAGCCACTCTAATCAAACTCTTTGTCAACTCATTTCTTGCCGTATTACAACTGGCTAATAAAACTTGAGATGAGCAGACAACTTTCTAATAAAAACAATAGCCCAACATATATCTACATAAAGAATATGAAGTTAGTATCAAACGCCGTAACTCAAAATATCATAAACAAGATATCAACCGAATATAGAACAAGAGAAAAAAATAGCAACTCAATAGTAGAAACAAATAAATGAATTAGATCTATCTTTTTAGCCACTCTAATCAAACTCTTTGTCAACTCATTTCTTGCCGTATGACAACTGTCTAATAAAACTTGAGATGAGCAGACAACTTTCTAATAAAAACAATAGTCCAACATATATCTACATAAAGAATATGAAGTTAGTATCAAACGATGTAACTCAAAATATCATAAACAAGATATCAACCGAATATAGAACAAGAGAAAAAATAGCAACTAAATAGTAGAAACAATAAATCAACCACCAAATCAGATCGAAAAATTGAAAAACAGCAACAAGAACAAGATATCAACCACACAAAATTGTACAAAAACTGTATTTTCATATTAAATGTTTGTGAAGGGCATGAAGAAAGTTATAGCGACAGTACTAATCATACAATAATAGTGGATCCTCATTCTGTGGATAAATATTTTAATGTCATTGGCACCATATTGTTTTGGCATATACAAATACTAGATATGACAAAACTAATATCATTTTTAAGTTCATAGAGAGTTCTTTGTTATTACAAGAAAAAAGTCTATCAGTTGAAACGACTTCTCGTGATTAACTTAATTAGATTTACATAGATAGTTTAAAAGTAAATATATTTTAAACAATATGAAAATAATATTTGAGGTATTATATTTTGAATGGTTGGTAAAAATCCCTTATATTTTCTATGTATGCTTCATTGATTCTTCTCCAACATAAACAATTGAGCCATGAATCAAGAAGCAATCTAAAGCTCCACATCATTTTCTTTGGATAGACTATATGAAGACTTCAAAACAAATTGATCCACACGAAATGTCTAATAAAAACATTATAATCATCCAAATTAGTTTGACGTGATCGAACAAAAATATGTATTCATCTTCATAAGTCTAAACTCAGAAATGCGATTCTTTTTTTCTTGTATCAATTTGGTTTATCATGGATGAATCTAGTTCGATTGGAATTACTTTTTAAGGTATTTTTAGCTTCAAACCTAAGTTTAGTTGGTATAAGATAATGAAATTAGTTCAAAAACCTTATGTTTAACATTTTAATGAAAAACTAGATTCTGATCCGCACTTTCAAAAGGTAAATATATTTTTTTTGTTTTAATTTTTTTGAGAAATTTAATTTTTATATTTGTGTTTTGATGTAATTATATTTGTGTTTAATCATTTATCAATAAAAAAAAAAAACTTTAGTGGTATTGGTATAAAGGAGTAACACATAGGTAATACATAGTTGGACAAAACATTTATTAATTGGTTATAATCATGTTTTAGTAGAATAGATTTTTTGAATGCAATAGTGGAGATTTCATTTATTATGTTAGTTTAGTCTTCATAGTTCGCCTTTATCAATTAAGCTGTTTACATGCATTCATCCTCAGAATTATTTGCATCAAGAAAGAAACTGTATCACATTTAGTGAAGTCTTTGTACATGGTACCGTAGCTCCCCATGTCAAAACTTTCCATTCGATTCAACTTGTGCCATAGACATTCTGGCATCAACTTGTTGGCCTTTTAACAAAACCAAAGGACATGATCCATCTCCGTCCATCACGTTTGTTTCTCTCAAACTCACCTCTAGGGCCTATTTTACTCTCTCCTCCAATTAAAGAAGCACATGAATGACAAAGATGGTGTGACCCATCAGCTCTAAAATGAAGAAAGTTAAATCCATTGAATAGAATGAGTCTTTAATATCTTGAGAACTCCAAGCGTGCAGCCTTAAAAAGTTGCTGCAGTTTCTGTAAAAGCACCATACTCAACAATACAAATGAGATGAACCTTGAGAGCTTTTGTGGTCTAACAAACGGAGCTTTTCTTGCTCTTAGAACTGGAACTCATTTAAAAACCTTAAAAGCCAGCTTTTGTAATAAATGGTCTCTTCGAATTTAGCTCTCACGAAATCTTAGCTACTATTATTACATAGAAAGAAGAGTGTCATCACAAATATATTCTGATATATCAGTTATTACGTTAGTGAATATTGCCTGTTAAGTGTTAAACTGATGTCTCACTCGACCACAGTAACAACTGAGTATTAAGAAATTGATCTTTTGCCAAAGCATAGACGAAGAGAGAGAGAGACATAAAGATTAGCATGAACATTATGATGATTGTTTCTTCCTTTATTCACAAGCGAGCTTGGTGTCAAAGCTGCTTAAGCAAATCGCAAACGCTTGAAACGCTGACAATGGATACCTATAATCCATCGTGAACATATCTTTCCCCACTTTACCAAACTGTAGAATCACCTTGTCTTGCTCTGGATGAGACGGTGCAGCCGCTGCTGCTTGCGTCGGCGGCTGTCTCGCGGCCACAAGCTGAAAATTCTTAACTGAAGCGACTGTTACACGTCCACGGAAGTTCAAACACCAGCACTGCAACTGCTCATGCCACCTAGGCTGCTTGTTCTTCAACACTAATGGTCTGAAACTCGTCTCTCCTTGTTCCTCCTCGTCACATGAAACTACTCCCATCTCTGAGAATCTGGAGCTGCTGAAGTCTACGGAACGGTAGTCAAGTGATGACTTGGAGAATGAGATGTTACTGCGGAAAGACTCGTCGAGAGGGCCCGGGAGGAGTTTATCAGGTTGGTTTGGAACAGAGCCGCCTGGTTCGAGGGATGAAGTTGGGATGGAGTTCATGATGCAGTGCATTCTCCGTGGCCCCCGTGTGCCTAACACGTTGAGCTCGTATGTGATTTGAGCTATGTTGTAGCTTCCTGATGGGAGTTTAGGCGAAACTCTTTTTGAGTGGAACATGCTTCGGCTTGTTTGGTCAGTGATGAGTGCACTTGAAGAAGATGGTGTGTTTTGTGGTGGTTGTGTGTCGTACACTACGAACTTTGTTCCAAGAAAGTTTGATCTGATGGAAAGAAACTTTCAGTAAGCGAATATATATAAGTAGGAAAATTATCAAGAAGATCAAAACGAACCTGAGCTTTCCGAGGTATGAGTTACTAGATCTCGAGATGTTATCAGCATCCATGGAGATAATGTACTCGGTCTTAGTAGTTCTACGAGTTCGTTTAGCTGAAAGAAGAAACTTCCCATTCTCCACAACCAGAGGAGCTTGAAACAAAACATTATGCACAACTTAGTCTTTAGCTATGAACTAAGTGTATGCAAGAACAAGCAGATAAAGCTTACCAGGACTTAAACAAAGAAAGAGATGAAATGTTAGCTTTGATTTATCCCTTTTGATGAAACACTGAATCATCGCATCACGAGGCCCTGGCTGGAAAAAAGGAACTTCATTCATCAGTAGTTTGAAACTTAACACAACATCACATTTTACAAAGGACAAAAGTTGTTATTGAGGGAGGGAACCTGTTTAAGTGAAACGGGAAAAGTAAGCTTCCCACAGATTTCAGGAGACACGACGATCTCTTGGCACATAGCTCTCCAAGACCGACAAACAGAAGCACAAGCCACGACATGTTTTCTTTCAGGCCAGTTACTCTCATTTTCCTCTAGTCTTCTGATCACATCTAAGAGCAGCTCTGGAGGAAGATTAGCCCATCTGCTTGTCTGAACTATCAAAGGTGAAGACGAATACTCACGGAACGAAGAGCCCTGTGATTTCCCTTTGTGGTGAAGCCTGAAATCGAAACTCCTCCTAGACAAGCTCCCAAGCCCATCTCTCAAATCTTGAAAAATGCTCCTAAACGACATTTTTCTCTTTCTTTGTTGAAGCTCAACTCTAAATGCTCAAAACTGACAAAGAGAGCTTTGAGACTGAGATGAGAGACTCCACTCACTGTCCATAAGAAGATGAAGAAAAAGGTTATAAAGCTAGGCAACTATGAGTCACCTTCTTAACAAGTAAGAAATTAAAGTAAAAAGAGCTAAAAGAAAAGAAAAGTGTAGGCCAAAAGAGAAAGAAGATTTGGCTAAAGCTAAGTAAAGAAAACATACATAGCATGCTACATAAAGAAACTAGGCCAAGTCCCTAACATAGCTAGCTTTTACTCAAGCATAAACCTTTATTCTTTATGACAATAATTAATCAATTCACCAACTGCAAAATCCAGATCACATAACTAGGAGGTAAAATCAGGAGTCAGTTTGATAACAAAACTAAATTAAGAATATGAAACGGTTTCCACAAATAATCATTCAATCTTTGAGATTTTGGGTTAAGAGAAGGAGAAGGGCTACAGAATGAACAGAATATGGGTTTGGTTCAAGAACTCGAACCCTCCGAAGATCACAAGGGGATATAAGCAGATCCGTAGGAGACTAATAAATCTAAAACAAAAAGTCAAAAGAGCAACAAACAAAAGAGATAAAGTCTTCTTTTTTTTGTTTGGTTGCTCTTTTCCTCTCTGCTTTTGTCCAGTTCTTACTCAGGAGCGTTTCTTGTTTTTTTTCTTTTAAATAGTTCACGAGGTACAAGGAAGATAATTAAAGAAGATTTTAATCAAATGAATTGCTTCTTCTCTGGATTTTTTTATCGAATTTATATGACAATTTTTATTAGGCTGAGCATAAAATCCGTAACCCTGAAATCTGAACTGAATCCAAACCGCTGTGGGTCAGTTTTGGGGCGGGGGCGCAGAGATATCAGAAGGATGATTTATTTGTTTGGTAAATTCCGATTCGTATACGATCTGAAATGTAAAAAAATCCAAATGGGTCTTGTAAGGTAGTACAAAACATATCCGAACTGAAAATGTTATTAACCGAATCCGAACGGTTAATTCAAATACCCAAAAAAAATCCAAAAAGATATTCGAATAAACCGATCAGAATATCCAAATTAATATACATTATAAATATATAAAACATAAATATATACTTCAAATATTCAGTTTCCTATTTATTTTAATATGATTTCTAACAATAGGTATTTAAAATTTAAACAAATACCTTAAATACTCAGTTATATATGAATAAGTATATATTTCTCATGTTTTGCCTTTAAATTTTGGATTTTATTTCGGGTATATTTGAACCGATCCGATATAACCCGAATCCAAAGGATATATGATTAATTTATGAGTTTTAAGATGTGATACAAAACTGATCTGAAACCGATGTGTTATATCCGAACATGATCGGTACTTACAAGTTTACTAAAATGGAATCTGGAAGTTGTTATAAAATTGAACCGAAATCCAAAAATCCGATCCAAACGCCAACGAGTATCCGAACGTCCGGACCTAATTTTTATATTTGTCTACTAGAGAGAGATTGTACTAATAAGTGGACATTGTGAAGCATTATTGTTCCACGAGGCCGCATGACCTACGCCTCGTATTAAGCAAAAGACCCAACGATAATTTTGACTTTCTTTTTTTGAGAAAAAACGATACAATTTTAACTTTAACCAAATCGTTACCGAAGAGATTTAACACTGCTTAAACTTTGAGTTTTATCACTGAATGTAAATCATTTTTTGTTTGTTGGTTGTATTATATATATTTCTCCACAAAAACAAATACTTGTTAGAGTATCTATATCTTACGTTATATGAGAATAATATATAAGGTATTATATTTTAGATTATTGGTAAAAAATCATTTTTATGTCTATGCATGCTTCCTTCATCCTTCTCCAACATAAACAGGTGGAGATTTCACTTAATTCTTAGTCTCAATCTAGATCTATATTATTATACTTGTTTTTTTCATTTATGGTTAATTATATATTTATATTTATATAATTAATTTGGTGGGATCTCTATATATTATCTGAGATATCAGATTTTTATGCGTCATTCTCACATTGATTCCTAAAATGGTTAATTTTAATAATAACTTCAATGATTAACTTTATTATAATAGATATCATTATTAATATAATTATTTAAATTTTTGTTAATATTTTTTTCCAAATCATTATATCATCAAAAAACAATATATTTAATATAAATATATATAGAATTTTTAAAATATGTAATTTAATAAAACCGAATTTTCTTTTATATAACTCATAAAGGAATTTAATTTAAGAAATAAATACCTCCAAAATAATTATATCTATCTCAATTTTATATATAAAGATGCAATTTAGTAAAACTTATTTAATAAATCAAAAAGGGTTATAATACAAAATATGATATCTTTAATATAAAAATATATAAAAATCTTAAATATATAATTTAAGAAAAACTAACTATATATATATATATCAAAAAATTAAATCTATTTAATTATAAATATATAGGATTTTCTCTTATATATATAACATGTTTTTAATAAAACTAAATTACCTTTAAAATCATTAATTTGTAAAAACATTTATAGAATTTTTTTCCTAAATGACGTTGGTTAAATCAGTTTTCGTATAACAATAAAATACCAAATATTTTATTATAAAATAAATACAAGCTAGTCAGAAATATCTTTCTAAAATATTAAAATAATGTTTACTTATTTAGAAATGTACTCACGTTTATTAAAAATATTTTATTGCAGAGTATATTTCTAAAAGATTCTTATTTATAGGTTCTTCACGTTAGTTAGAAACATCATAATTACTATCTAATATCTAATATATTAAAAGAGAAATCATGAGTTTTTTAATGTATGATATTTAAAATGGATCATCTAATAAAATTTGTCATATTATATTATTCAATCATTAATTAATAACCTTAAAATTAGTTACATATAATTTTGGACTTACCCCAAAATTTTATTGGGTTAACAATAATTGGATAACCCATTAAATTTATATATAATATAATAAAACACATGTTTAAATTAAATGAATATGATTTAGTTTTTTAATAATATATCTTCATAAGTTATTATTTATAATATATTTGTCGATGTTAACTTTTAAAATTATATAGTTTATTTTAAAAATAAGAAAAATTAAATGTTTAGTTATTTATCCCATAATATGAAGCTAAAATTTTTATTTTTTTAAAACTTTCAAAATTTGAGAAATATTACAATATCTTTAAATATAAGAATAAAAAAATAATTTACCAATCTTTACATATATTTACTACTTTAATAATAAAATAATAACTCAAAACAATATATATAAAAGAAGATATAAATTCGAAACAATCTATTCGATAAAAACTAATATATGATGAAATGATTATCTTTTAAAAATTGATATACATATCTCATATATATATATATATCAATTTAGAAGTGATAAATTTTTTTTTAAAAAAATTGAAAACAAAATGTTTCTATAAAAATAAATGAAAACAAACACCCGCGCGGTTACACAGATTGAAATCTAGTTTATTTTTATTTGTAGTTAGTTTTTAATATCTAATCGATAATTTTCCTCTATTATTAAAATCTCATTTCATAAACTGATTTTAAAAAATATTAGAGCAATTCTCCAAAATAGCATTTTTTTTTAATTTTCATTTTAAAAGTAGTATTTCAAGTTGAAAATTACAAAAAAAAATACATTTTGTTATATAATGATTATCCATATCATGAAGACACTTGTCTCATGACTAATATTATGTTTTTCATTGTCATTAGACACATGTCATTGTGTGTGTATTGTTTCATCTCCTATAAATAGGGAGTTTGTGAAATGAAAATGTGAATTACAAGTTCATCAACTCTCCTCTCTCTCTAACGCGATTTCTCACACAAACAACATATATATATAATAATATATTAAACACAAATATATAAAACTATACATCTGAGCTAATATATTACAACACGTTATCAGCACGAAACTCTGATCCTAAGTCAAATAAGATTATACCGGTGAGGTGGTTTAATTTATGTATTTCAATATTTTTTATTAATGTAATTTTATTATTGTTTCGGAGTAAAAGGCTTGGCCTTCTCTATTATTTTTCGGGATGATAGGCGTTGCCTTCCCCGACTGATCGATAAGATGGCTATGCCGTCACGATCAGAGAAACACGTGATAGGCTTCGCCTCCGTGAATAAAAAGATCAAAATGGATGACTATGTCACCTCGGATCTTTAATAAAAATGAAAGGTCAAAAATGGTAGACTAAGTCTCCTCGGACCTTGAATAAAAAGAAAAGGTTAACATGGCAGGCTATGTCTCCTCAAACCTTAATAAAAGTGATCAACATGGTAGACTATGTCTCCTCGGATCATTCGGAAGTTTAAGCCTCCAGTTTTATTTATGCTTTTAAATTTCTGCAATTTATTTTTTACTTTTATTTTATGCTCTTTAAATACTGCAATTTAATTTATGCTTTTATATTATGCTTTTAATTTATGCATTTAAATTCTTGTCTTTACTATATTTTTTTATTATTATTCTATGAATATAGTTATCATGTCGAATCTGACAAAGCTCGAAATAAATGCCCTGGATATTACGGGAAATAATTATATGACCTGGGCAGTGGGTGCAAAGATGCACCTGAGAGGAAACAGGCTTTTGGAAACCATCGATAATACAAAAACGGTGTCGGATGAGAAAAAGGCTAAAGCCAAGATATTTTTACGACACCACCTACATGATGGTTTAAAAGATGAATATATTACGAAAGAGGAACCTTTGGACCTCTGGCAATCTTTAAAAGAGAGGTTCGATCACCAGAAATATGTGATCTTACCAAAAGCTAAACACGAGTGGATCCATCTCTGGTTCCAGGACTATAAAAGTGTTAGTGAGTTTAATTCCGCTATGTTCGGAATTACATCTAGGATGATGTTATGTGGAGAGAAAATAAGTGATTATGATATGATCGAGAAAACTCTCTCCACGTTCCATCCTGGAAATATAGTCCTACAGCAACAATATCGGGCGAGTGGATATACCCGTTACTCGGAGTTGATGCAAGTCCTCCTTGTAGCGGAGGAGAATAATCAACTCGTGACTTTAAACCATCAGGCTCGTCCCACTGGGTCTGCTCCATTCCCTGAAGCGAATGTTGCATCATCCAGTTATGATAATTCGAGAGGACGAGGTCGTGGACGCGGGGTCATGGACGCGGTCGAAACCGTTATCATGGTCGTGGAAGAGGACGAGGAAGAAGATTCCGTCCATATGATAAAAGAAATAATAAAGATTTCCATGAAAATGAAAAATGTGAAAGGGGCCGGGATGACAAAAAGCAAACAGTTTGCTACAAATGCGGTATGAAAGGGCATTGGGCACATGTTTGCCATACGCCAAAACATTTAGCCGATCTGTATAAAGAATCTCAAAAGAGAAAAGAGAAAGAAGGTGAAACAAACTTCATCTCTGATGAACCCGGGCTATCCTTTCATGGTTTAAATGATGATACTCATCTTGACGTATCAGACTTTCTGGTTAAGCCAGAGAGTATCGATGGGTAAAAATAAGATCGATGTAATATAAGTTTACTGTATTATAGTATCTATATCTTTTATTGTAAGATA